CTTGTAAGGCTAAGATTACACATTTTATTCCGTCAACAGCAATGGAATCATGATCTTGGAATGTTGTAGGTCTGTACATTGGCACTTATTAATGTATGGGTGTGGTCGCATTGACCTCAGTCAAGGGAGAATAAAATAAACAATTTCCCTATATTAATACAGTAGGCATTTAACTTATATTGAGATGTTACAGCACGGTACTTGATAAAACAAATGTAGACCCCATAAAAAAAAAGAATAGCGTCCCTAATTAAACAAAACAGTGATTAACTCGTCGTAGATAGCCATTGAATACTCACAATACAAAAAAAAACCATTCAAGACTCCAGTCAGTATTAGACCTACTATCATCGTTTTCATTTAAGACGATTACAAATACCTCGTGTTTATTAACACTTTAATACCCCAGTAACCCTTCAGCTTATTTTAATCATTACTGGTCATGAAGACAACGAAAGTAAAAGCAGGAACAATTCTCAAACAACCTACAACAATAATGGAACCTTGAAACGTGTTTGGTACTTTTAATAAAAAAGAAATTATTGCTAGTACTCAATGCCCTAGCCAGAATTTTTTAAACAGTGCGGGACAATATCAGGGTGGACCCACTTTACGCATAAATCCAAATAATGTGGACCCATTTTCTATTTCAATTTATTTCAATGTAAGGAGAAACATAGACAATCGAAACAATAAAATTACATTACATTAAAAACAAGTATAAGTATAAGTATAAATTGGACTCATTTTACAAAAAGATATTAAAAATCTGGACCCATTTTCTAAAGAGTTTATCCATTTTAGGCAAAATATCAGAAATCTGAACCCATTATTTAAAAAGTGGATTCATTTTATACATAAAACTGCATGACTTGGACCAATATTTTAAAATGTGGACCCATTCTTTGTGGACCCATTAGAAAATTTGTGTGGGACTGTCCCAACTGTCCCAATAGCTAGCTAGGCATTGTTAGTACTGTACTGCTAATGTTAAAATTTTTATGTGGAAGCAACGCAATTGTTGAACCAGATTAATAATAACTCAGAATTGTTCATAAAATAACTTCTCCGTTTGTTAAATTAAATGCACTAGGCCCTATGTCATCTTCTTTTGGTTTTCTAGCAAGTAAAATATGCCTACATTTTAAACATTCGAAAAGTACAAACTTTAACTGCTCTGAATTTAGACCTTCATAGCGATTGTCATCCACCTCTGAACTCATTGGCAACTAATTTGCGTTTAAGAAAATTTCTGAAAGATCAATATGGCGTGCTTAATATGACTTTTAACTTCTTCATTTTACTTTGTAGTTCTGCCCAAGGTGCACTAATGACTCGTTCGGCAATATCGTATTGATGTTAGACTTCAGGGTAAACTATACCCTCACTAGGGAGATTCCACTTAAGTGAAATGTTAACCTCAATATCGGGTTAATTTTTCAGTCAATATTTCACTAAAAACTATTGTAGCCTACTGTCACGTACCTGAGTCAGAACTTCCAAAGAATTAGACATAATACCGACTCACGAGAACACTCAATAAAGTAATTATATTAAGGGTATCAAGGCGGTCACGTCACATCTTATCTGGATGGGGGTTTGTTAATTATTTTTAATGAAGTTGCTTATAAATGCTTTCTTAGAGCACAAAGGATCGTGATTATTCAGAAAATAGATGATTAGAATAATACCATGTGTCAAAAGCACTAATTGCCATCGATTCTCGTGTTCCAACAGTTCGTTCGCCGCAATGCCACGCATTAAAACATATGCCTATAACAAGCAAATGTGTTTATTTGTGTGTTCATTAGGCTTATTGAATGTTGTGTGTAATGAAACATTACATTCATGCTAAGGTCGCATTAACAATAACCGATGAAATATCGAATGTCGGATAAGCCTAATTTAAATAGTGAAGGAAGATTGATTTCCTGTTAGTGTCACAGTTGCTCTGTTTAAAGAGCAGTATTAATGTGTTTATTTTGTCAGGGCATAGAGAAAGAAAATGGCAGTATACTTATCAAATTATCTTCCAGCAACGAATTGCTTGCCTTTAATTCATTCATTTCTAACTTAGCCATGTCCATCACTGTATAATATTGTGGGCAGACGTCGGTCAAAAATACTTGATTAAAAAATACATAAATTCTATTTTTAAAAAATCCCCTCGGGACATGTGTCTTTCAAGACATGTGGGTCAGTTTCATAAATGTAGTCATGTTACTCCTGTTTGTGTGTGGAAAAATCGTTTCTTTTTTATGTTACGAAGGTCATGTGACTTCAGGTACCGGTACGACTGATAAAGGTTTATCATCAGGCTGCAGGCAAAAACGATTGTTATGTTACAAAGCAGGAGGACTATATAAACCAAGTTGGCTGTCGGTTACCACCACGAACATGAGCTATCACATCATTCGTTCCTTCAGCTGGGTTTACCAACAAAGTTACCCAAAAGGGTGCCAGGATACTTTCGTCTGCACTGTATTTGTAGAAGCAATTGCGCAACGGCTGTGGCTGGTACACACAACCTTGAAGTCGGGGATGGATATCATTAGTGTAAAATTCGCACTTTATCTACGTTTCATGCAACAATTGGCATGAAACTAACTGACGGGAATTTCTCTTAAAACATGACATAATAATGTTTAAAAAAATCAGACTCTAATCTCTGGATAGCGTGAATGAAAATTCATCCAAAAACATTAAGGAAATAATAAAATAAAAGACATTTGATGTAAATTACTCTGGGGTGTAGGTTAAAACAACCAGTGGCGGAGTTAATGTAGTTTCGAGTATAGTTTACGCCCACGTTTTAAACATAGGCCCTACGCGAGCAAGTACGCAACCGCAGCTGAACATTGGTTTTGCTCTTGCTTTGGTTTCTGGTATTAAGCTGCTCCAAGTGAATTTGTCATATCTTTAATGACACACCTTTCTTTTATAAGAAAATATCAGTATTGGCGATCAGCATTTTTCTTCAACAAATAAGACCCAGGTTGCTCTACAATTTTAACTCATAGGACCTTATACCTTACATCTTGTTTTTTTAGGATCCCGGACAAACTATTCCTTGGTTAGTAGCGTCGTGATTAAGTTGGTTGTACCGGTAGACCCCTACATATTTTTGCTAATTTTCTTAATTGGAATAGACCCGATATATATCATTAGCTGTCTGTCTGCTTTGATACAGGCTTAAATACATAACTTCATGGTCAATAAATAGGCCTAAGTATAAGGCCTATATGATTTAGACCTACTCTTTATAAACCGTCTGAATCATACGAAACTATAGTATCAAGTTTGGAGAGGACATTGTCATTAGTCATCAACTCCTGTGTCTTTCCTGAGTGTGGAGATCCAGTCTGATATTGAGAGATTCCATCAAAAACTTCTTCATTTTTTAAAAGTTATGTTAACTTTCATATTTTTCTAGTATATTTTTCCTTTCCTAAATTCGTCTCTGGATATGGGATAGGATTTATTCCCTCCTCTTCCCTGGGGCTGAAGCCTAACTGTCCTCGTCCTTTTATCTTCTTTATAAACGTGATATTCACACAATTATGTGACATAATACGAAAAATAATACCGAACCCAAATGTTACTTTTCCGGCCGTGTCTGAAAATAAATCGGCGGATATATAACATAAATTCTACATGTTATGATGTTATCTCATGATTAGTACATTGTTATTCAAGGTTACGTTCCTAATGCCACCATGTTGCGATGTCACCTGTCGTAAAAATTCAATACATTACCGTACCGTATAGTTTTACTCTTCGCGACAGCTTGTGACAAACTTTGATCTAAGCACAGATTCTATGTATTGTAAACCTATCGTTGACCCCAAACCTGCACTTAAATAGAGAAACACACCGTATTGCTAGTTATAGTATATACACTTTTCAACACTCTCAAATCGTAAACATTAAAGTATTATCAGCTGTTTGCCTCTGTATGTCTAAAAAAATTGCAACGTAACTTGAAGCATCTGCTCAGGTTACTGGGACTAAATGCGCTCCCTGCACTTTGTATTTTCTGTAAATAAAAGTTATGGTTTTATTATCAATTCCTCTCGATAACATCAGTAGAAATAACTTCATCGCAAGATAGTAATCTAGTCTATTATTGAGTTTAACTTTTCGTGTATGCGCCACTTGTGCTTGATACATGAGACTTAGTTTCGTGTACACGCGAATAAGTCATAAAAGAATGTCCGTTTTGATTGGCATACGACATATTGTACGAAACAATTTGTCAACTTCTGTGTAGGTCGATTTCATAGGTTGTATAGAATATTGAGGTCGTGGCCGGCGGGTAGAGTAAACACACTCTTACAGGCTGTATTGAAATGGACTCCACTTAACACAATTTTGTGCGGAAGGCAGCTGAGATTTCGTGTTTCATCAGTATTGTATCGATGCCAATGCCATCTAGAATAATATCGAAGTTACTAACGCATTGATATCGGCTGAATTAACACATTTTAAGGAGTTAGTCATTGTAAGGATGTGTTGGTGATCAGTCTAAAAACGCAATAGCTTTTTTTAATCAGTACAGGCGTATGACAGTTTTGATTACGGTATCTCATTAAATTTCTGTAACTTTAGAGCAATCAACTTGTAAGTAATCTACTACAGGTACTGTAAGTCGTTCGCTGTTGGAATCGATATGGACGTCGCACCAGCCACAAATGAATCTGGTCCCACGAGCTGACGCCATATTACTAGGCATGTCGATTTGAACCCGCATGCAGCCGCTTGTACCTGCACCGAAATAACCACCCATCCGCAATTAATTGTTAATGAAGTGTGTAGTATCACGTATACGCACTCACTTTCCATTCAAATTGATTCTATTCTAAATCGTAAGAGCGTCTTTAATTTGTGATTCAGGACTATCATTAGGTCTATATTGCAATACATCTTGTAATTTTACAGGTTATGATTAAACATCCCTAATGATATTAACAGGTAATACATGGAATTAAGTGATGACTTACCCCTGGAGGAGCCTGCCATTTAAACCGAAGGGAATCCTTGTGTTCCGGTAAAGTCAGCTGTGATTCACTGGTAAGAAAGTGTCTAGATCTGCCTTTAGTCACCAGTTGAAGATCCGTTGTTGCGCCTATAAAATCATAAAAATAGGCTATGCTTGAAAAAATTCAGAGAAATTAGCTGTTTATAAAGGCATCGATTAAATCTAATATGTTGAGTTCTACTCTTTCACAAAAGGATAAATTCCTTTCTATTTTTATAGGCCTATATTTATTTATTTATTTTCAATCTTATCGGAATCCGACAAGTAAAAAATACAATTAATAATATTATTTATTATAATTATTATGAAAACTAACCGTAAAGTTTATAGGCCTATGGCTTTTGTATCCATCACTTTATTTTATAGGTAGTCGGTAGACCAACACAATCTGTATTTGGTCTCGTTCGAATCCGCCGCTAGAGGGAATGGGCCGCGTGGAGTCGTATCTATAGAAAAAATTTGCATCCCCACCCCAAAGTTAAAAACCACATAACGACATTTCCCGTTAGCGGCATTCCACTTATCTATCGTGTACCCACAACCCTCCCCCAAGTTGATACTCCTACCGTATGATATCGCAACTGAGAGCCGCATGTCGTCTATGTTTGTGAGGATGATGATTTCATCAAAAGAAAAAGGAAAGTCTAACATTACCATATGGAGACATTTGATGTTAATATTAATATTAGGCCAATATGGTATGTTAGGCTCAGGTCATCAATGTTAAGCATTATCACATTGGAACTAACCGATGTTCTACTATAGTACCGGTACGAGTTGTTCATAAACGTACCAAGAGCATTTAGGCCTATAGACTTATGACTCAACATTACAGAACTCATAAAAAAGTGATCGTTTTGTTCAGACTTTATCTGTGGAATGTCAGAAAATTTATCAACTTCAAATTTAATTATGTCACACAGGGTGACGGTACAATACCGTATACTGTAAATGATAGTGAGGATGAAAATCAATCAAATATATATTTTAAATTGACAGATGTCGCATATTACAAGGTCATTTACTTACACTGTCTCTATCACGTCAATCAAGGTTATACGGTACTATAGTCAGTTTCTGGCGTTTGTGGTTTTCAAGCATTTTTCCATGTTCTCTGTAGGCCCATAGTTCATGGTAACATATTACTCACGGTGTTCTCATAATGTAATTATAATAAGGCCTAATATAATAATAGGTCCAATTATGCATTTATAATTTGTCAATATCCATCAAAGTTCCTCATTCTGCATACGTTGTATTGTATAAAATTGTAATAATAATGATAGTCATTAGAACTAGAAAAGAGAATTTAAGGGGCCCATGGAGAGAAATAAATGAACAATAAAAGCTGGTAAGGAAGAGCGAAGGGTGCTCAGGAATGCTTTGCCCAGCCTAGCAGTAGTAATTCTTATAAGCCTAGTAACTGATACACTTTTTTTATAAGAACACCGAAGCTGAAATTGCAAATTGAGAGAGGTAAATTGTGAAATGACTAATAATAGAAAAACCAATTTAAAAAAGTACTAAAATTACTTTGGTCTTATCTGTACTTTATGTGCAGTACTGTAGGTTTGACAGGCTTAATACTGAACCCTCTATATAGTACAGTAATGTACTGCTATACAATTTTCTATCTTTGAAATGTGTATAAAATAAGAACATTTTGAGCCTGAAATTATACAAAAACCTGGGTAAAATTGTGCTGGTTCTAATCTTTTTTTTTTAAGTAATTAACTAGTAGTGCAATTTGAAATATGATATTTAATACTGTAAACAGAAAGTCTTATAATTATTTTAGTGAGGAAATAGCAAATGTGTTTTGGGCTGATTTTTATACATTTTAACGGAAGTAATTGCCGCTTGATGCAGTAATACATACGCTGTCGGTATTATTGTAGTATGCCTAACTCAGACGAGCATACTTCCTAAATTAGAAATTAACATGGAGATCGTTTGAGAGGATCATTTGAAGTAATCAGCTGTGGTAGACTCAACAGAACATCCGGCCAAGCACCCCCCTACCCCACCCCTTCCGTGTCCGCCTATTTCCTTTAATTTTCAATCTCCATACATCATTAAGACTACATTAACTGTTAAAATATCTCAAAAACTATCAATTGATTATGACATAGGGTCTGTGATTAAGACATAGACTTGGATCGAAAAAATTAATGAGTTGGATGCTCACGGTGTAATTGTACGCATGCTTTTTCGACTACAAGCCAAAATTTATTATTCATTAAAAAAAAGCTGAATAGATGAGCAAACATTATATTATACAACAATAATTTTGTGGGGTGGGGGAAGATCGGCCCCTACCCCCTCTCCTCTTTTGGAAAATAAAAAAAGGGGGAAGAAAGAAAGAATAAGAAAAAAATTATAGCCCAAAACGCCTCAGAGGTTACTTTCGAACGTCTAGAATTCAAAAATTTCGCGGACACCATAGTCGTGTTACCTCAATCGGCCCACTTTCGGTCCCTTTTGGCCTCTCCCCCTATCGGACATCTCTGGATAGGGATATGCCTATTGGAGATGCACTAAATATTCCTTCCATCCATCTACTTCCAAACTCAACTGACATATTATTTTAGGCCTAACTACATTATACGAAGCGATCGTACAGTAAATGCATCGTGCTATCAGCATCAGAGTTAAAGGTGCCATCCTGTAAACCAGTGCAGGAAGTTACCTTTTATCAAAACAATCAAACATCAACATCTCATGCATTAGACCAGGACGCCGTTTTGTGTTATTTTATGCAATGGACGACAACCGAAAATAAATAGTTATGCCTACGAAAACTTCAGCATTCACTACCCTGCAACAAAAGATTATAGGCCTTTTATACCGAACTTAAATCTGTTGACCAATGACTGACCTAGGCCTACTTTTTTTTTCTTTGGATTCTGGTAGGTTTTGTGATATAGATCTGGATTTTGTGAAGACCTTGATAAGTGAAGCCCTTTTCGTATCCTATATTCAACCCTCTGGAAAATAATTATATTATATAAATGTCTAAGACCTATAATATTATGGATGACCTCTTTATAGTTTCAAAGTCCTACTTATCAACGTTTTATGGTTTATGAGCTTCGAAATTAGTGTCTCAAAATCCATAAAGTTACTAATGACCTTGGAATTCATCCGGACAATAACCCAAATTAATCCTATCATTTAATAATACCTCCATGCCATGTCATATGCCATATCATATTTTATATCATGTCTCTGAATATAATTATATATAGGCCTTATTTTAACGCAATCATTAATGCAATTTGGACTATTATGTTTTAATTAATACTATTAATACAGTAGTGTAATATGAAATTATTTCCTTTAATTACCGGTATATTACAAATCCATACCTGAAATCTTTCGCATTTCGTGTCCCTCTATCCATAACTCCAAAGTATCATCCTGTGCCCTTGATGGGCATAATAGCAGCGAGTACATGACTAGCAGCGCAGCCGCGCTAACCAGCATGTTCGCTGCTTTTCTGAAACTACACAGTCGCACGGGATACGTTTATACTACAATTCAACGAAAGTCGTGACTTTGTGCAGTCTCTACCGATAAATGAGGCAGACTTGCTTAAAGTGAGTATCACATAACGCTCCAGTAACCATCCAAGTCGGCTTAAGTACAGGCTTACTATTCACTATTCAGCACGCATAACACACCGGCTTTCACCAAACTTCAGCAAAATGACAATATAGTTTAAAAGGCTTTGTATTAAGTTGCTGTAACCATAGCCTAATAGAGGGCGCTATGCTTGAACAAAATTTGTTTCACAAACTCAAGTTGGCAAGCGAATATTTATCCGATTCCCGGACACGTCAATAGGATTTTGTTTGTTTCAGTATTATGCATGAACATGGTCGTAACTTATTTGTTAAAAAACATCGTCCTAGGTTTAGTTGAATTAATCGTACATTTTGGTTGTAAAGTATGCGCTTAATTTGTTATTAAGGGCTGATAGGCATGGTGTTTTTTTTACCCGACATGTCATCTTGAGTTCCTTAGATTGCCAGATATATTTACAATCTTGTCACTCATCAACAGGTGTTCTTTCAGTTATTTTTTACACTAGTGTAATGTTAGATGCTATTATATTATTAGATTATGTTGCAACAAGGACCTAAAAGTCTTTGGTTGCTGTAGACCTGTCGGAAGCTTGCTTTCATCAACTAGTCAATGTATTCCTGGGGATCCGTGAAATCCGTGTAATGTCATAGCATACCGTATATTGGAGATGTCAGGTTATATAATTATGTTCAGGACATGTCTTCTACTTCTACTTCTACGATGATACTCTGTATAGCTATTAGAGTACACCACAACCATTGCGGCTTAGTGGAAGATCGAAATAACTACGTTAGTGCTTGTTCAGAGAGTATGATGCTCAGCGAAATATCATACTCAATGACATCTAGGATCTTTTTCCTTTTATGTTAAACATCCTAATTTAAATTTAACAGATTTGTCTTTTTTTGACCATTATTTTAGTTAGAGGAGTGGATGCCTAAATGAAAAACGAAATTGCATACTATTTTGTTGAAAGGTACAAGTACAAATCGTTTTTCTGTTTAAATTTCTGTTTTTTAACTTAAGCACCTGTAAGTAACATTAAGTCAGGAAATCAGTGGTCTTAAAGGAACTCTTCTTGGAAAGGGCAGTTGAATCAGCCGTACATTTTGGTTGTAAAGTATGTGCTTAATTGTGTTAAAAGCTAACAGGCAGCAGCTTCCCAAATATTTACAATCTTTTCAGTCATCGACATGTGTTCTTTCAGTTATATTTTTCGGAAGTTTTCTTTCATCGGTTAATCAATGTATTTCAGGGTGTTGAAAAATCCGTGTAATATCAGCGTATATTGGAGATTCGAGGTTCATTTTATACTGATGTGTTCATGACATGCGAATGTTGTACAAAATGTTTTTTTGCACATTGTTTCACTCATAATGTAAAGTCTGCGTAATTATATAGGCCTACTGAATGTCGCTGTTTGTCGAAATAAAGAGAGTACAAAAGCATATTTTTTTAAATTTTGAATGTAGACTAATACCTGAACACCCCTTCCGCTACGCC